AAAAGCCGCCAGCGCGAGTCGCACGAGGCGACGTTCGTCGCGCGACTCACGCACGAAAACGAACGGCCGAGTCGCGCAGCGGCGAAAGGGGTGAGAGAAAAATAAAAGCGAAGCAACTGTGCGAAAGGAATCGCGCACAGTTGCGCTTCGTACCTTGTTATCGTTGACGAGGACATCCTGAGAGAGAGCGGCCGGCACTCCGTGCACGCGTTATCTTATCCGCCGTGATATAACCTGAGCAGTTTACCCTGCGCGGAAATCTGGAGCACTCAGTCACACACACAGAAAGAAAGAAAGAAAGAAAGAAAGAGAAAAAGAGCGAGGAAAGTCGGAAAGGAACCACGCTCGTGTTGTCGGTGCACGAGAAAAGTTTTGAGCGCGCGCGTCACAACGATAAAGCCGGCGGCGGCGGCGGCGGCGGCGGTGACGACGGCGGCGACGACGACAACGGCGGCGAACGGTGCGCGATATCGCCGGACTCCGCGCGAAAAAGCGATCAGCGCGTGCCGGCCGGCCGAGACCGAAGCGGGCATATTTCGAACGCGCACGGACGCGCGCGCAGCGCGGCGGCGGCGAGAGAGCCGACCGCAGAGCCCGGCTCCGACGGATAAAGGCACGAACTACAACAGACCGCGGTCGGTAAAGCAGCGCGAACGCAGCGCAGTCGGTTCCCCGACTACAACCAACTCGATGGCTAGATCGACGTCGCGAGTGTCGGTAACGAAGCGTGATCGACCGCAAGTGTTACCTGTGGATTGGGAAAGTGGAAAGTGGATGGTAACTTCGACAGCGCGTGAACGCACGCACCTTTCCCGCGGTCGGTAACGGTTCTTTTCGCGCGAGAGTTGCGAGGACAATTGAAGCCGATCGTAAATTCGAGGAGACGACGCGCGGGAGCGAGCCTCTCGTGTTTATTGCCGGCGAGTGGAAGGAAGGTAACTGTAGCGCGAAGTTCTGCCCCGCGCTAATGGAACTTATCGTAATTACACAGCGCGGTTTTAACCCGCTGGAATGATCTCTCGTTACGGAGCTCGGGAGCTAAGTTTCAAGTAGAATATTTGTCTTGAAGAATTAAGATGTGTGCGCATTCTCGCCGGGTACTGTCAGGTGGAGTCTCGGGACGATTTGAGAAGAAAATATGCGGGAGGCTCTCCTTCGGGCGAGAAAGTGCTCGTCTCTCACCGGCGTTCAAATGTACTTTCTTGCCGCCTCGAACATGCCAATGCGCTCGAAAGTGTTTCACCTCTCTCGTGAGCATCGTTGCGATGCGCCGAGCGATAATTTATTCACGACGCCGCGCAATTTCAATGCGCCTTCCTCAAATTTAATCCGAAATTGTCTAACCACATTTGGAAATGCAGTTGTTTCACTTTTCTTTCAAGTGATAAGTCTGCTCTATCTGCCATGTTATTAACCTTGTCAATATTATTTTAACCTACACTTCGCATAATTACTCGCTACGACTTAACATAAAAAAATTTTTGTAATCGGTGTTACTTTATTTTCCTTTTGTAAAATATATATATATATATATATATATATATATATATATATATATATATATATATAT